AGTTTCCCGTTGGAAACAGTAATCGGGTATACTGAACTAATAGCACACTACGCCTACACTACTCGAGGGTTATAAGGATGTCGAATAATGTGTAGACTAGCAGGGCGGGTGTGGTTGTCTTAGTGGTAACTTCCTGCTATCAAATTTAATATTCGCACACTATTATGAACAATAACTACCAAAACATCTACATTTGAATAAATAAAAAACTTTAATAATTTATTAAATACCCAAACTGTTTGATTGTTGAGTTTAAACCCCCATTATCTTTATTAATATTTTTTTAAAACTTATCTCTGTCTTTTTTTACCTACATACATATATTCTGGGTGGTTCTTGCCTCATCAGTAAATACTATAATGAATGAAAATAACAAATTTCTTCATATTCTCAAATTTAAATATCTGTCAATCGCATATTGAAAATTGATAAAAAAAAATAGACCTAAAAAAAATTTTAACCGAAAAAAACCCAGCTTTATAAAGCGTTAAACTTTTCAATCGGAAAAATAATAGATCTCTTTAGAAACAAACATTTCATGCTTTTCCTAAACATTCTATACAGTTCTACAGCTAATAAAAGCATTGAATACCTAAATCTAATTCCTAAACTATTCTTAGCCATTGGCCTAACCTAAACGCGAACTCTTAACTAAACCCAACAATACCTATTACTTCATTGCTTACTTGATCCGAAACCCTCATGCTAGCACTATATATAATCCTTAACTCTAGTATTACCATATGATTACGGTTAAGGGGGAAGGCATTTTTTTAATACTCGTTAAAAACAGTTATTTCTTTACAGCTTTATTAAGATACATCCGCATATGTATTTCCACTTTAAAAATTTGTCGGAAAAATCTTGGTTACTATGACAACGGCGGCCATCTTGAAAAATTAACCCCTTTGTAGGTTTTCCACCATTCATAAATATTACATTCTAAGCCCAATAAACAATCAATTCATATTCTTCTTCCATATTTTGGGGCACTCAGCTAAACATTTTAAGTGCATATCTTCAAACTAATTTTTTATGAATTTTCAAATTGTGGGTCCATTAAAAACACTAGTTTTAATGCCCCAAAATCCCCCAAAATTAAGTGTTTTTTTTAGTAGAAATGCATATGCGGATGTATCTTAATAAAGCTGTACAGAAATAACTGTTTTTTTAACGAGTATTAAATTTTTTTTTTTTACCGGAGCCTTCCCCCTTAATTTTATTGTTTAGAAAAGATGGCGGGCCAAAATGTAAATTGTCCGTGGCATATTGCAATACCCCATGTGGTCCCTATTTTAACAAGCCACCGAGCTATTGGGCTGTGTGTTTTATTTTAGATCAAAATCTATTGATTTTAATTCTTTGAAACAACCTGTTTATACAGCCATTGAACGCCAAATGATAATTAGCTCATGTCTCAAGGGTTATAATTGTTGATGTGTTAATTACAACAATTTTAATTATTTAAAAAATAAATAGATTATTCCATTGTTTGCGATTGCTCTTAAATCATTTTTGTATATTTTGCTGATACTCGGCTATCAAACATATTACATGTAATTATAAGCTGAATAGAAGATTTTGTGGCAGAAAATTGGGGATTAAATTCCATAGTGCGGTGCAATTGAGAGGTGAACAAAGTAAACAGAAGGAAGTAGATTCAACTGGAGGTGCTCTCATAGAATAGTTGACTAGATGTCTCTGGTTAAGACTAGAGCATTTAGGATTTTTTCAAACACATTTTCAAAGACAGATGCTACGTTGTTATTTTTGTTTTTTTTCCTTGGATATAAACAGACGTGATTGGAAAATATTATAATACGTCGTGGGAAGCTCCTGGTCCCTATGGTATGTATGTTTGACCAGAAGAGCCTTATGTGGTCAATTGGATTGTGGTGTAACTCATTAAGACATCGCTATGTGCTTTTAGTGCTTTAGCGTAATATTGACTGTCATACAGGTCCACGTCTAATTCTGTGCCCAGGTGTCTTTACGTCTTATCAATTTTTAGATTTCATGAAAATTACATTTTTTAATTTCTTTTCATATTTTCAAAATACAATAGCATAATACGGTTGAAACGTATCTAATTTAGAATATTAATAAATAGGAACAATCAATGTAAACATCTATTTATTATATCAGCCATCACGTATTCGCATTATAAATAACTCCTCTGACTTTTTTAATTCGGTATAGTATTTGAAACCATATACCTCTTTCGCTAAATGTAATTTTTGTGTCGATAAACACTATGGCAAGGACTCATCATCTTCCTTTTGTATACAATAGTGATAGATAGTACTTTGATAACGACATCTGTATCTGGTATTAAGGCGTATCCTTGATTTTTACTGTTGCTCATTTTATATAGGCCTATATATATATATATATATATATATATATATATATATATATATATATATATATATATATATATATATATAAATATATAGACTCGTGACCTTGTTTTTCTAAAAGTTATTTATTTAAATGTATACAATGCATGTGCTTTGATCATAATTATCGTGACACAGGTTTATACTACCGCATGAAAACCTTGAGTGTACATTAATAACTCACCGAAATAATGAGGTTGAACACACTACGGTGACCGCCCATAGAGACGCTCTCTCAGGAGCCACCCCCCCTCCCCCACCCCCCCCCCCCCCCCCGATTACACTACTGCGTACGGCCCCTATTTCGTCGGACTTCTATTCCCGCGGCAACGCTTGGGGACGGGTATGCTAGTATATATATATATATATACATATATATATATATATATATATATATATATATATATATATATATATATATATATATATACTTTCATTTCAATAAAGCATTATTTTCAAGTGTAACTTTTGAACATTTGAATAACACTAATTTCAACATATTTTAAATTTTAAAATTGGATAGTAAATCAGTAACGTAAAAATATATCGTTTATGTTTTTTTCTAGCTTGTTGTGATAGGATTTCAATATTTTCTATTTCTGAGAAAGGTTGACGAACTACTTTGTGTACCAAAAAAAAAACATTTCCAATATTTTTTGGAAGGTCGCTTTAGGTAGCCTATTTCCGACCAGTAAGCGATGACAGCTTATTTTAACATCAGAGTGGAGGGTAGGAGGCGAGTTGAAATTCTTTTCAACGGAAACAACTCTTATTGTGTGCCTTTGTTACATAAATAAATTAGCTTGTCATTAAAAAATTAAAACAATCATTTAACTAACAGAAATACAAATTTGTAAGAAAATTATTGTTTGTAAGAGAAAATTTTAGGGGCTGCTAAAATTCAGGGGCCTTGTGCTCTTGTCCTCTCAGCCCCCCCACCCATTTTTTTTCGAATCATTCTCTGGTCTTCAGCCGAGTTTTCGGATGTAGCCTATAGTACAACAGCCAGGGACTGGTTTAAACAAGACGTATGCACAAATTCATTTGCAATATTCTGTATCAGGATCAAAATAAAATTTTACATGAAATAAATCGTTGTGATTACATATAAAGGTAATTGTTTAAAGAATTGATTATTTCATTTATTCTAAAATTAAAATAAATTACTATACAAATCCTTTTCACGGTTTTGTCTAGTAATTTTTTATTTTACCAAAATTCAAGAAACTCAATTTTAAGCAAAGCAAAAAACTGATCCTATAGATTTAAAGACACTTAATTAGAGAACTGTTGTCTTTTAACAACTTTCCTGCGTGCAAATAAAAAAAATGAATATAATTGAGGGGTTGTCCATAAATGACGTCATACTTGTAGGGGGAGGGGGGGGGGGGTCCGTAATTTTGTGACTGTGTGTGATGAGGGGGTGGGGGTTGGTTGAGTGTGACGTCACTTTTTTGCATTATAAAAAAGCAATGTTAAAAAACTAGTTTTAGTCGTTATTTCGCGTTTTAGAAAACTGTTTTTAATAAATTGTAATAGGAATTAATAAATACAACTCTATTTTGACATAGTTCTAACAAGATTTTGAAAAAAATTCAACAGGAATTTTGAGGCTGAGGTGTGACGTCATTTAGGGGGGGGGGTCTGGCTTTTTGTGACGACGTGTGGTGGAGTGGAGGGGGGGAGGAAAAACCGTTAAAAATAGATTGACGTCATTTTTAAAGAGTTTTTTTTAAAGATAATTTCAAAAAATCATTTTCACAGCAATGCTTGCTAATTATCTTCATTTAAATTTTTAGCTACGGAAACTACTATAACCGCAAGAAGCTGAGAACCAAGTGCAAGAATGTTTTCTTGGATAATATTAACAATCTCTTTATGCTGTAAGTGACTAGCAGTAAATTTTGGTTTACTGTTTATACCAACCACGACATGCAACCATTATTCTATCATCTCAACCCACACAATTCTATTGTTTGACTGATGCCACAGTAAACGACTGTCTATCCTGGTTTGACGCTAGTCCTAGTCATAACAATAGCCTTAGCTAACAACTCTTACACATATCCTAATCTTAATTGTTGCCCAAATAGCTATTTCAAACCCCAATAAAATAATAGATGTTATAACTATAAAATTCAATTATAATTACAAAAATAGAATTCCATTAACTTTACATTATATATTTTTTGACGAAACATTTTGCTTGTAAACGCAATTTAATATTTAATACTTTTAAATTATCTAACGATGTGAATCTTTTATTCAGTGTTGGAAAGCTCCAATGTCCAATGCTTTACATCTATAAAAGTTGGCAACACAGAGTACAGTCTTTCCGACTTAAAATACTGGTATTCCGAATCTCTATCTCTATGTCGAAGATTCAATAAAACAATCGCCATCTTTGATACGAACGATGAGTACTTTGAAGTTCAAGATCATTTAAAAAAAACAATATACCATTTTGAATTGTGGGTGGACATTATAAAAAATACCAGTGGGTATTATTGGAGATCAGAGCCTATTTCAGAAACTGTTTGGAGGCCTGGAGATCCAGACGATAGATGTCAACTCAACACCATTAGTAGATGCTTTGTGCTAATGACAGAAGTTGGCTTGAGAGACTTATGGACAGAATATAAATGCACTGTTCTTTGTATGGATCGGTGTAAAGAAGGTTTTAAGCCTGGCTCTGATGAAGATATATGTGTTGATGTAGACGAGTGTCTGAGTTCTCCTTGCAAGCACAAGTGTAACAATGTAGTTGGTAGCTACAGGTGTGGGTGTAACGACGGTTACGTGCTTGGGGCGGATATGACGACATGTGAAGACGTCGACGAGTGTCAAAATACATCAAACCAGTGTTCTCAGTTATGTAATAACTCAGTAGGCAGCTACAACTGCAACTGTCACGAAGGATACAAGTTACAAGACGACAGATTTTTGTGCGTGGATGTCGACGAATGTGCTTCACACTTGAAAAAATGCTCACAAATTTGCGTAAACACGGAAGGCAGCTACAAATGTAGCTGTCATGTTGGTTATGTGATGGACACAAAGATTGGAGACTGTGTTGATGTAGACGAGTGTCAAACTACAACACACAACTGCTCCCAGTTATGTAACAACACCGTAGGCAGCTACAACTGCGACTGCGATAGAGGATATAGTTTACAGGACAACCGATTTACCTGCGTGGATGTCAACGAATGTGCTTCACACTTGGAAAACTGCTCACAAATGTGCATAAACACGGAAGGCGGCTATTATTGTAGCTGTCATGTTGGTTATGTGATGGACACAAAGATTGGAGACTGTGTTGATGTAGATGAGTGTCTGAGCTCTCCCTGTCAACAGGTGTGTACAAATTTCAACGGCTCCTACAGCTGTTGATGTTACCATAGATACACTCTAAAGTCTGACAACAAAACTTGTGGTGACGTAGACGAGTGTCAAACTACAGCACACAACTGCTCCCAGTTATGTAACAACACTGTAGGTGGTTACACCTGTAGCTGCCATCAAGGTTATAAGTTACACAACGACAACAGATTTCTCTGTGTGGATGTCGACGAATGTGGTTTAGGAACTGACAACTGTTCTGATGGTTGTAACAACACGGCCGGTAGCTACGTGTGTACATGTAAGAACGGCTATAACATTGACACACACGATCCTTTCACCTGTGTGGATATGGATGAGTGTCAACAAGGTCGACACAATTGTACACAAAATTGTACTAATTCTATTGGCTCGTACGTCTGTAGTTGTTTCCATGGTTACCGTTTAAATAACAACGACAACGTCACTTGCTTGGATATCGACGAGTGTAAAGAAAACTTACACACCTGTGAAAATGCCTGTGTCAACACATTAGGTTCTTACACCTGTACCTGCCCATTAGGTTACCAACTTGATCAAGATGGTAGCTCCTGTGTCAAGACCAGATCACAACCATCTTGTCCCTGCTCCTGTAGGACTCAGACCAGAATCAACATGTCCAGTACTCTAATGGCCGTTCAGAAAGAACTTGACCAGATCAAAAAGAACTTGACCGTTGAGACTCACGACCTGTCGTCCTATATACGGAGCAAGACTTCCGCTACAGACGACAGAATGACGTCAGAGACAGTCGGTTTATTTGGCGCCATTTTGTTCGGGATTGCCATGGCAGTTGTAGTAGTTCCTGACGTCATCACACTCATAAAGTTCCTGCTCTCAAAGCTGAGGCTTGTCTTTAGAAATAACGTCGTCAATGTTCAGTGAGAAGGACGGGGAAACAATCGTGTCTTTACTTTATGGTTTTCTGCATGTTGCTTATAAAATATTTAATTAATTTCACGGATAGTTCTTAGATCACTTTTATAACTCTTTACAGTTTTAAAACTTTAGCACCAACAATCACTGTGATTTATTTTGTTGCATTATTTTTCAACCTCAATAATGAAACAAAAACAAATCCGTGAAGAATCATTTTGTAGTTTCTAATAACTAGCTATTGTTAGAGTATTTGTTTTGTGCACTAATAATTATAGTTTTTCCTATAGTAGTTCATAACATCATCACACTCATAATGTTCCAGCTCTAAAAGTTACGGCTTGTCTGTAGAAGAAACGTCGTCGATGTTCTTTGAGGTCATGAAGTTGTTATTAGCTGTCACGCGGGTTTTTGACTGTCTTTACCTGCAACTGAATGAACGTTGTTTTTTACTTGTTTACCCGTCGACTTTGAATTCTTTACAAAATAACGTACATTTTTCAATTGGACAATATATTCATAACACTTTAATAACGTAGAAAGATTGTGTAATGTTTCATCATGCGTTTACTTGAATAAAAGTAGTGTCAGCAGTTTTCTTTTTTTCTTGCCATCTATTTCACGTTGTAATCCATTAACATGTTACAGCTATTTCTTTACGGTTATCAAAATATAGACGTTTTTAGCTTCCACTATTTAGTAGAATAGCAAACTGAACCGACATTCGACTGTCATCCCCAAACGTGGTTGAACCATCGTTTCCTGAGGCCTACCATTTGGTACTGAGTCCTACCATCGAGTACTGATGCCTGTCATTGGGTACTAAGGCCTACCATCGTTTCCTGCGTCCTACCATCGGGTACTGAGGCCTACCAAAGTGTCCTGAGGCCTACCATCGGGTCCTTAGAACTACCATCGTGTCCTGAGTCCTACCATTGAGTCCTAGGCTGGAAGAAAACTTCGTGGTTGGGCTGGAAAAGCGTATTGATTTTAACTCCAAATGCTCGAGTTCGGACCCCCTGAAAGATGAGGCTTGTTAGCTGGTGATAAAAGTCCCTCTAACTCCAAGATCAAACAGAGTTTGCTGCCTGTTTTTTTGAAGCAAATCCAGAAAGAAAAAGCAGGCTGGTCAGAGTCAATGTACCATATAGTTACATAACATGCATGTTTACGCTGAATAATTGCCTGTGTAGAAGCGTATCCATTTATAGCAATTAAGAATGAAGGGTAAGAAAAAAAGTCAAATTTAATAATTGATATATAGGCCTATATGTCGCGTATATTTTAGGATGTTGTGTCGCAAATGTATTGATGAAAATGTTTATGTATCTTTTGTATACTTTTTAAAAAAAATCAAGTATCTCTGATATAAAATGTATCGATTCATTTACTGCACAATGTATAATTTTATCTTAACAGACAATTGTTCTCTCTCTTTCTCGTTCTATAATTCTATCTTTATCCCTCTCGATAGCCCCATCGATATCCACAACTGTCGTGTAGCAATAACATTAATCGTGTCATTACCTTACGGTTATGGTTAGGTTAAAAATTTGGTTCAGGACCAAGTTGTGTAAAATCAGGGGACATTCAACTACTCCAGGTTTCTGACGCCGTTGGGGGAGGTATTATACAGAAGATAATTAACCAAGGGGTTACTTCTGTGAGCAGGTAATTAAATCTTAATTTTTTCAACGCACACATTATAACAGTCTTTTATTTACATAATCTTCACATCGATAATTTTTAAAAAATCTTGAAACCTCAACATTGATACCCAGGTTTGAACTCTATGGTCGCATTTTACCTTCAGAGAGGGATTTGTCCACTAAATTGAGTATCAGAGAAATGTTAAATAAAATCTATATAACTGTTTAAGAATGACGAGGGTTTTTTTTTTGCTTTACAACTTTAAAAAGTAAAAATCACGATACAAAGTATTTGAAGTTGTGGGGAGCGAAATTAAATGTTGGATGGAAATATCTGATCTCACTTCAAGAGGGTGACTTGTATTTTGTATAGAAAAGTGAAAATAGGGGTTGAGGCTACACAAGTGTTAAAGTTGAGTGTCCTTTATGTGTTACCCATACTTAAGGTAAAACACCCTATAATGATACTTTTTTCATTCATACACGACACAACTACTTGTAAGTAATTAAAACATGGCTCCCAATATGCTGAATTGTAAAGTTCGATATTTTAAAATGTTTATATATATATATATATATATATATATATATATATATATATATATATATATATATATATATATATATATATATATATATATATATATATACTAGCGTACCCGACTCCCGCGCGTTGCCGCGGGGATAGAAGAAAGTTTGACTAAATATATTAGAAGGATTAACCAACGCGTTACCAATCATATGTTCTTAGACGCGTGACCTTCTTTTCTAAAAATGAGTTATTTAAATGTAAACAATGCCTGCGCTTGGATCATAAATATCAGGACACGGGTTTACCTACACTACCGCATGAAAACCTTGAGTGTACATTAATCACTCACCGAAATAATATGGTAGAACACACTTCGGTGACCGCCCATGTGTCAGAGACGTAGAGGCCCGCTCTCAGGAGCCCCCCCCCCCGATTACACTACCGCATAGGCGCGGCGTACGACCCCTGGCTCCTTAAAATAGCATCCTGTTAACAATGATGCAGATTGCGTCATTCACTAAAGTGACACAAATGAACAGGATTTGTTATTTAACACGTAAAAAAATTCTTTGACGCGTTTTAAACATCAGTGTGACTGATGCAATATGTTAGCGTTACTAATGGTCGATTCTTAGATGCTCGATCTCAAATTCTGATTGGATTATCTAAAAATAGATGCTAATTGCATCATTCGCAAAGTGACGAAACTATTTGGATTTTTTTTACGGACAAAAAGAAACATCCCAGTAAATAATCTAACGTTGGTTAATTTTTCTGATTATTAAAATAAAACGTATTACATGGCCCTCAGCGGCAAATGTGAGCCTTTGGGGGCCGAAACAGACATTTTTATTTGCAGCCTAATCGCATCCTACCAGGGCGCCAGAGGACACGCCTGATTCAATTTAGTAAGCATTTGTAACGCCGAATACTATTCATTGTCTATCACACTGTTTAGACAGAACATATTCACCATAGCGCTCACGGGAAAAACCAGGGCGCCAAATCGCATCCTGCTGGGGGGCCGCCCATGCAAAAATAAATTTCCCCGCCCACTCCACCCACCCATCCCTATTCCCCCCTCCCACCTCAGAAACCTTATCGGGAGTATTCATCAACTCCCTAAAGTTTTATGGCACCGGGATAAATTGCGTCGACCCGTGCAGCCGCCCTTGCGAAATTAAAAATTATTTTTTACAGAACCCTTCCCTTGAGTGTTCTAATCAAGTCCCTGAGCTTTGATGGCTGTTGGATGGATGAACGTTGTGTGACCGCAATCAACTTTTATTTTCATATACCATATATATAGAGAGAAAACAAATCGCGCCCTACCATGGTGCAACCCCTGCAAATTTGAAAATGTTTTCAGCGCAGAAACCTCCCCAGGAATATTCTCAACATCTTCCCAAAGTTTCATGGCGATCGTGTCACCGCAATTCACTTTTATTATTTTTATATACCGTATATAGAGAAAAATCCCACCATTCCGTGGTGCCGCCCTTGCGAAATAAAAATATTTTTTTATAGAACCCTTCCTTAGAGTGTTATAATGAACTCCCCAAAGTTTCATGCCTATCGGATAAACGGTGTCAAATCAAAATCGACTTTTATTTTTATATACTGAATATAGAGAAAATACAAATCGCGCCCTGCCAGGGCGCCACCCCTGCGAATTTGAAAATGTTTTTAGCACCGCAGAAACCTCGCCAGGAATATTCTCAACATGTTCCCAAAGTTTCATGGCGATCGTGTTAACGGTGTCACCGAAATTTACTTTTATTATTTTTATATACCGTATTTAGGAAAAAATCCCACCACTCCGTGGCGCCGCCCTTGCGAAATTAAAAATATTTTTTTTTACAGAACTCTTCCTTAGAGTGTTATGATGAACTCCCCAAAGTTTCATGCCTATCGGATAAACGGTGTCAAAACAAAATCGACTTATTTTAATACTG